TAATATTAGTTTATCTAAATATAATCCTTAAGACATCGAAAGAAATACTAGATTTCTTACCGAAATCTTGATGTTTTCTTCTTCACCGTTCTCCTTTTTTTCCCTCCTTCTCTCACTAGACTACTATCTCTCTCTCTAAATCTTGAAAAATGGAAAAATGGAAGGAGAATGGTCAATTTATAAAATTTTAGGACTGTCGGATTCGTGCCAGGTGGCAAAATCCGATAAAGAGAGAAGAGAAAAAGATGTTCGACATAAAAATTGAGGGAAGAGTGCCTCTTCCACCGGTGGTGGCGGCACATCGCCTGAGGCAACGGCGATGCACTACCTGAGGCGGTAGTGCCTCGGTCGGCACATTGCAGGCTAGCTTGCAGGTCCACAAGCCTCCTACCGCGCACGTAAGGGCTAGACTCCGCATACGCAAGCCTACTACGTGCAGGTCCCAACGTGTAGGGCCTATCCGCACAAGCCTGCTGCGCGGACAGCATGCGCATAATGTGCAGTGCCTGTCCCCACATAAGGTGACGTGCACAAGACTTGTCCCAACACCGTGCGCACGGATGGGACGCAAGTGTTGTGCGCACATCTCGTTTGTGCGTGGGTGCGGATTGGACATGCGTACTATGCGCATGTCCCGTGGCTGTTGTGCGCATGTGCGCGCGCGCACAGTGCTTAACATCCACGCAGGCAGTTCTACTTCCCTGCGGGATTTCTTCACGTTTCACCGTTTTTCCGATTTCTCTCAATTTTTTAAAATTAATTTAAATAAGTTAAATGCAAAATTAAATAATAAAATTAAAATTAAATAAAATTAAATAAAAACAAAATAATTAAAAATCAACTAAATTTTTACGAATTACGATAAATATCATGCGAAGAAAATTAAATAAGTTCAATATTGCCAAAGGCCTGAAAAAATATGATTTTTCAAATCAATTAAACACAACGATGTGAGATGACCGCTCCATATGAACGATGACGTACCCTTCTATGAGAGTGGTTACATAATATGATTATAGGGGTCACTGTAGTGACGTACGGTCGTAACTATGGTTTACATGTAGGGCCACTCTAGTTGGCACAGTCGTGGTCATAGAACGTATCATGGTTTGGTAAGCCGTAAATGTGTTGTGGTTTAGTAAGATGTAAATGTGTTGAAATAATTTGAATTTTTGTCATTCCACAGTGGCAGTTAGAAATTCGTATTACCCTCAATAGATATAAGCCGAAACAACTTTGCGCGAAGAATAGGACAATATGAAATAAGAAGTCATAAACATGTTTCATATTTGTTTGATTTTCTCTATTCTACGCATGAATGATATGAATGATTCCATGACTTTCTAAACAAAATAAAATGTTTTATTTATCATTAAAATGGACTTCAATACAACAATATTCAATGATAAGCTATTTACGATTCATATTTCTTTAAAGTTTTAAATACCTTTAAAATCTTAGTAATGTTGTTTAAATATCATTTTTCTTACTGAGTTTATGAAACACACCCTTTCCATGCCCCCTCCCCGCCAGATGAGAATGATAGTGACAATCTACTCGTTGATCTTACAATTAAAGCCTTTGAGGATCTGATGGATCCCTGAGTTGTTATGAGTGCATATTTTGTTCTGCACTCTAACGAGTCCATTTTTGTAGTGAAGGCTTGTATGTTATATTTTTGCCAAACTTTTGGCCTCAGTGATGTAAAATTTAGAACTCAAATTTTATTCTATAAGGGATTTGTAATATTTATTCCACTGTATATAATTATTTTAATGCACTCGTAATCTATTTTTGTATCTGGCTTCCTTATGTTATATTTTAGTATTTGGGATGTCACACCTCCTGTCTGAGATTTGGATTATTTGATTGTCTACAGGTATTTTCGTTATTTCACGTGTGAAAATGAACACTAGTCGTCGGATCTCCTTTCCCTAAATCATGGTCATCTGATCTATGGTTTCTTAAGGGTCTTCAGGTCTTTTTAGCCTTCCATTAATCCTGGTTATTTATTTAAGTGAGATGATATACAGACTGTCCATGCACGAATAAATCTAAACCGTTCGATCAACATCCTAATCCCAATTAAATCACAGTCATCTAATCTAATTACTTTCTTTTGCACCTATGGCTTCCACTCGTGTCTACCCGCGCATATGGAATTGATTGGGATACAAATGCATCATCATGCTGATGTGTTATGTTTTCCATAATCGCACTTCTTTTTTGCCCAAAATTATTTCAATTAGGTTCTTAATTATTTACAATTTTGCCCTAAATTAATATTTTCTTTCTTATTAGGTCCCTGTTAATAAATTTATTAATTTTTTATGGTTTTTCTTAATTTTTAAAATTCCTTGGGCTTTCCTTTTATTCAAAAATACCCTTAATTCACACATTTAATTTCTTAATGTATTTTTATTCAACTTTTTCACCTAAAAACTTTAAAATTTTTAATTTAAGTCTCTCAAAAATTTTTATTTCTTTTCCATATCCCTTCCTTTCCTAAATTTCTCCCATAAATATTTGTTTTAAACCATATGTCCTAAGTTCAAGGTGTTATAGTAATGGATAAGTATTCCAAGCATTAACACATACATCATAAAAGAATAAAATTTAAGGATTTTTTATGAATTTTAAAATTTGTGGAAAAAGAATTTTATTTTGAATAGTTTGGAGAATTGAAATTGGCATAAGCATTAATTCAAAAAAACAACTTTAAGCCTTTAAAAGAGAGGAGTGAAAATGTTAAACTGTGAAACTTTTTTTTGCCATTTGTCATGGAGGGATATTTATGACATGTGTGGCCGAAATTTGGTGAAGTGAATAGATGAATAGATGAATATGTGTGTCTGCTCATTTATGGAGGGAATTTGTGAAGTGGTCACCTTGGCGAAGTATTGTCATTGGCAAATATGAATTTATGTGTGTGTACCTATTTATAATTGTAGTCAGTAAACCCTTTTGCCCTCTTTGATATTGGTTTTAAAGTGGCATCATACAATAAAATTAAATGTGGTCCGAAATAAAATGTGAATAAAGTAATATGTGATTCTAAAATAAAGTCATCTGAATTAAAACTGTGAAACAATGTGGTTCGAGGTGATAAATTAGTTTAAAAATCTGAAAATAATTTGCAAAGTGATTGTGAAATTTTTTTCCTAAATACTTATGTTCTAAAAATAACTTTATTCTTAAAATAAGAAATTATGTATTTTTTACTCTATTTTGAAAATTTTATGTGTTACAGTATTAATTTTGCTTTGGTTTAATTTCTAAAATTATCCCTAGTGTATTTCATGTGTTTTAAAATTTTACAAAAAAAAATTTGAGTGTTGGAAATTAATTTATTATACATATGAAATTTAAAAA